ACTGGTGTGAGGTGGTAGCTCATTGTGGTTTTGATTTGTATTTCCCTGATAGTGATGTTGAGCATTTTTCCATGTGCTTTTTGGCCATTTGCGTATCTTCTTTCTCATCTGTTCCATGCCTTCTGCCCATTTCTTGTTTGGATTATTTGTTCTTTGGCTGTTAAGTGTGATGAGTTCTTTACAGATTTTGGATATTAACCCTTTACCCAATATGTCATTTGTAAATATCTTCTCCCATTCCATAGGTTGCTTTTTAATTTTGTTGGTTGTTTCCCTTGCTGTGCAAAAAGCTTTATATGTTGTTGAAGTCCCAATAGTTCATTTTTGCTTTTGTTTCCCTTGCCTTTGGAGATGTGTCTATCCAGAAGTTGTTGCGGTTGAGGTCACAGAGGTTGCTCCCTGTGTTCTCCTCTAGGATTTTGATGGATTCCTATCTCACAGTTAGGTCTTTCAATATCTTCTTGCTGTTGTTTAAAATTTACATTTTACATTTCTGATATCCAAGTTGAAATGATATTTTTCTCAGACATGAATGAGGTTTGTTTTATCACGAGATACCGAGTTTTTCTGAGAATAAGAATCTGGGGTGCTAATTCTTTCCACAAAATGGCTTCCCTGGTTTTGACACTCCCACTCTGCACTGAAGGGGACGGTGGACCTGAGGAATGAAATCAGATAATATCCAAAGCCACCTTGCGGGGTCCCTGACTGATAATGGCTTAATCTTAGCTTGATTGGAGTTCAGAATACGCTTAGTTTTTCCCCTCACTTCTCTTGCTAGAAGGAAGGTGGGATCATGAGGTTCTCAATAGCATGGTATTATGTTGGAGTCAAGTACAGACTATGAGCCAGACCGGCTGGGTTAGCATTCCAGCAACTCCAGTTATTAGCTGTGTGACCTTGGGGTAGTTACTCAACTGCTCTCTGCCTCAGTTTCCTTAGGTATAAAAAAGGGATGATAATAGTATCTATCTCATAGGGTTGTTCTGAGAATTAAAATGATGGTTAGATTGGAGTTCAAAGTGCTGGGTATCATGATTATTTATTCTCCTCTGGAAGTTATATTAAAAGTCCTGTATATACTTTGGTTTTGTTGCTCTTACTTTGGTGTCACATCCAAGAAATCACTGCCAAGACCAATGTCAAGGAGCTTTCCCCTTTGTCTATGGCTATACCACCCTGAATACATCTGATCTCATCTTTCATGTCTTCTTTGAGGAGCTGTACTATTTTGAGTATCATGTTTGGGTCTTTAATCCATTCTAAGTTGATTTTTGTGTATAGTGTGTCATGGGGGCCCAATTTCACCTGGGGCCCTTTTTACATGTGGATATTCAGTTTTCCCAGCACCATTTCTTGAAGAGACTGTCCTCTCCTTGTTCATATCCTTGGTCCCTTTGTCGAAGGCAAGCTGACTGTAGATAGGTGGATTTATTTCTGGCTATTTTTTTTAAAATTTTTTATTTCTTTTCAGCATAACAGTATTCATTGTTTTTGCACCACACCCAGTGCTCCATGCAATCCGTGCCCTCTCTAATACCCACCACCTGGTTCCTCCAACCTCCCACCCCCCGCCCCTTCAAAATCCTCAGATTGTTTTTCAGAGTCCATAGTCTCTCATGGTTCATCTCCCCTTCCAATTTCCCTCAACTCCCTTCTCCTCTCCATCTCCCCATATCCTCCATGTTATTTGTTATGTTCCACAAATAAGTGAAACCATATGATAATTGACTCTCTCTGCTTGACTTATTTCACTCTATTCTTTTTACTGTGATAAAATACACAGAACATAAAATTATTACCTTATCTATTTTTAAGTGTACAATTCAGTGGTATTATTCATAATACGTTCATAATGTTGTACAACCAACATGCATCTCCATACTGTTTTCATCTTGTAAACCTTAAACACGCTCATTAAATAACTCCCCATTCTCTTCTCCCCAGCAATCACCATTCTACTACTTCTCTTTCTGAACTGGTCAACTCCAGGTACCTTATATAAGTGGAATCATAGACCATTCACCTTTTTTGTGACTGGCTTCTTTTACTTAATATAGTGACTTCAAAGTTTCATCCATGTAGTAGCATGTGTCAGAATTTCCTTCCTTTTAAAGGATGAATAATATACCATTGTATGCCTACACCACATTTTGCGTATTCATTCATTGTTGATGATCACTTGGGTTGTGTCTACATTTTAGTTGTGAATGATGCTGCTCTGAACATGGGTGTACAAATACATTTTCAAGATCCTGCTTTCAATTCTTTTGGGTATATACCAGGAAGTGGAATTGCTGGAACATGGTAATTCTATTTTCAATTTTTTTAGGAGCTGCCATACTGTTTTTCATAGTGGTCATGCCAGTTTGTGTTCCTACCAATAGTGCACGAGGGTTCTAATTTCTTCACATTTTTATGTCTTCCATGCTGTTTTATTTACTGTAGCTTTATAATGTATTTTGAAATCAGAAAGTGTGATTTATGCTTTCTCAAAATTGCTTTAGCTATTAAGGCCTTTTTTGTATCTATATGAATTTTAGGATTGTTTTTTCTATTTATGATAAAAATGTTATTGGTATTTTGACAGGGATTGCATTAAATCTGTAGCTTGCTTTGGTAGTGTGGCCTTTTAAACATTATTAAACCTCTGATTCATGAACATGGGATGTCTTTTGATTTATTTGTATCTGCTTTAATTTCTTTCATTACTGTTTTGTAATTTTCAGCGTACAAGTCTGTCATGTCCTTAGTTAAGTTTATTCCTAAGTATTTTATTTTTTTTTCATGCTATTATAAATGGGATTGTTTTCTTAATTTTCTTTTTGGATAACTTATTGTAAGTGTATAAAAATGTAACTGATTTTTATGTTGATCTTGTATCCTGCAACTTTGCTGAATTTATTTATTAGTTCTAACAGTTTTTGAGTGAAGTTTTTAGGGTTTTCTGTATACAAGAGCATGTTATCTGCAAACAGAGACAATTTTACTTCTTCTCTTCCAATTTGGGTGCCTTTTATTTCTTTTTCTTGCGTAAGTGCTCTGGCTAGGAATTCCAGTATTGAATAAAAGTGGTGAGTGGACATCCCTGTCTTATTCCTGGCATAGAGAAAAAGCTGTCAGTTTTTCACCACTGAGTATGATATTAACTGTGGTATTGTCATAAATGGCCTTTTATGTTGAGTTACATTCCTTCTATACCTAATTTTTTTTTCTTGTAAAGATTTTATTTATTTATTAGAGAGATGGAGAGAGAGCACAAGTAGGCAGAGCAGCAGGCAGAGGGAGAGGGAGAAGCAGGCTTTCCTCTGACTAGGGAGCCCGATGTGGGGCTCGATCCCGGACCCGGGGATCATGACCTGAGCTGAAGGCAGCCACTTAACCAAATGAGCCACCCAGGTGCCCCCTTCTATACCTAATTTGCTGGGCGTATTTATCCCGAAAAGGTGTCGAATTTTGTCAAATGCTTTTTCTGTATCTATTGAGATGACCATATGATTTTTACCCTTCTGTCTGTTACTGTGGTATATCACATTTATTGATTTGTATGTGTTGAATCATTCTTGCATCCCAGGGATTGTTGAGTTTGTTTTGCTCCAGTTTTGTTGAAGATTTTTCCATCATATTCATCAGGGATATTGACCTGTAATTTACCTGTCTTGTAGCATCTTTGTCTGGCTTTGATAGAAGAGTAATGCTGGCCTTATAAAATGAGTTTGGAAGTGTTTCTTCTCTTATTTTTTGGAAGAGCGTGAGAAGGATTGGCATTAATTCTTCTGTAAGTAGTAGAATTCACCAGTGAAACAACCTGGTCCTAGGCTTTGCTTTGTTGAAAGTGTTTTTGATGACTGATGCAATCTCCTCACTCATCTTTGATCTGTTTAGATTTTCTGTTTTTCATGATTTAGTCTGGCAGGTTGCATGTTTCTTGGAATTTATCTCTTTTAGATTATCCAATTTGTTGGAATATAAATGTTTCAGTATTCTCTTACAATCCTTTCTATTTCTGACATTACTTTTAATGTCTCCTTTTTCACATATAATTTTTATTTGAGTCCCTTCTCTCTCCCTCTGGTTGGTCCAGCTAAAGATTTGTCAATTTTATCTTTTCAAAAAACCCAGCTCTCAGTTTTGTTGATCTTATCTATTTCTTTTCTAGTCTTTATTTCATTTATTTCTCTTGTAATCTTTATTCTTTCCTTCTGCTGACTTTTGGCTTAATTTTCCCCCTTTCTAGTTCCTTGATATGTAAATTTAGATTATTTGTGAGCTTTCTTCTTTCTTAATATATGATTATCACTATGTAGTTCCCTCTTAGTACTGCTCTTGCTTCATCCCATAAGTTTTGTTGTATTTTCTTTTTCATTTGTCTCAAGATTTTTTTTTTTTAATTTTTCCTTTGGTTTCTTCTTTGACCCATTCATTGTTCAGGAGTGTGTTAGTTAATTTCTATATATTTTTGAATTTTCCAGTTTTCCTCCTGTTACTTACTGGTTTCTAGTTTCATACTTTTGAGGCCAGAAAAGATACTTGTGATTTCAGTATTCTTCAGTTTGTTAAGATGTGTTTTGTGGCCTAACATTGTAGAATTCCCCCCTTGCCCTATCTAGTTCCCCATCTTTCTCTCTTCCCTTCTACCTTCAAATATCACCATTTATATTTTTTTTTATTTTTAAGATGTTTTTGATTCTTAAATTTCTTATTTCCATGTCTATGAGCATGTTGCATTCAGGGGTTAGATTTTACAGACTGTCTTATTCTCACCGCAGCACTCAGCAAGTGTGCTTGACCAGTGTTTATAGAAGGCAGGAGGAAGACTGAAAATTTTACAGAGAAGTGAAAAAGACTCCAACCAGTTTACCTATTAAACTTACTCCTAACTTGTGAAGGCCACTGAATTAAACAAAAGAAGCTAAAAATCAGATTCGGCTCCCCTTATGGATATGTTTAAAATGCCAAGATTGACCAGAACCAGTAAAGATGACTTGCAACAGGAAGAACTTTTATTGACATGCCACCATAGAGAAAGCCAAAGAAATGTTACCATTTGACAAATAGCTTGTCTTAATTCATCGGAAGAAAAGCAAAAAACTAAGGGAGCTTTTATTCAGGAACCTAGCTTCAGTTTGGTATTTCAATTTAGGGGCTCTTCTTCTGGAGTTCAGGAAGGCACCCTCTGTTCATTCTTCACGTTGTTGGCTTTGGTGGATTTCTCTTCCACAGTGTGAACTCTGGAGGAGAGAACTTTGCCACGAGGATCTATTTCTTCAACAATTGTTTTCACCATGGTGGTTTTAGAGGACTCTAAAATGACACATGAATTGTCAGAATTTATCAGATCGACCAAGAGGAGATAACTAACTCATCATTTGAAAGTTACACAAATGCATTTTCAATGCTAAACACAACTTTTGTTTACCTTTTATCTGATTTCCTGGTCCTCCGTAGCCTTTTGATTTAACACAAGAGCTGTAAAAATATAGAGATCTTGCATTAATTATTTCACTCCATTTTTTTAAAGGTTTATTTATTTATTGACAGAGATCACAAGCAGGCAGAGAGGCAGGCAGAGAGAAGAGGAAGAAACAGGTTCCCCACTGAGCAGGGAGCCTGATGCGGGGCTCGATCCCAGGACCCTAAGATCATGACCCAAGCCGAAGGCAGAGACTTTAACCCACTGAGCCACCCAGGCACCCCTATTTCACTCTATTTTGCCAGGGAAACTGGAAAACAAATATTTAAGATAGGAGATCTCTGGATTCTGAAAGAACACTAGAAGGGGTTTGGTTATACATGATGTGGGTCATACATTGTACTTGATTTCAAAAAATCTTTAATAACCTTAAAGTATAAAGTGTTTTCTCAATAGAAGCTGTATTTACCCATCCTCTCCATCAATCAGGCGGCAGTAGGTCTCAATTTCCTTTTCCAGGTGGACCTTGATGTCGAGGAGCTGCTCGTACTCCAGCTTCTGGCCCTCCGTCTCAGTTCTGACCTGGTGCAGCTGCTCCTCCAGGGCCCCGATCTGAGCCTGGATCTGGGCGAGCTGCGCACAGTAGTTGCCTTCCGTCTCAGTCAGGGAGCACTCCAGGGAGTGTTTCTATGGATCAGTAAGATATAGTTTAGTAGAAAATATCACAGTGTTGTTTTAGAATAAGGCAGAGCACTTAAGAGATATTTAAAAGAGATATCTTACAATTTTTTTATTTACAAATTTTTACCATATTTACCCCAAAGGGTCCCCCTTGTTCAATATTAATTGTTGCCTTTATTAGGTGTCATGCTGTTTTTCTGTTTGAGAATGACACAGTTGGTGGATGTCACTCATATGTCCAGGAGTGTTAGCAAAGATAAACTTGTTTCTTCATAGGGCACAGTCTAAAGGTCTCTCTGCCCCACCTCTGCTTCTAGAGTCTGGTACAATTTGCCACATTTCCCAGGAATAAAAGTCCCCCTACAATTTGCTACTTTGTTTCTAATCATGTGATTAGTAATTAATAATTAACATTAATAATTAACTTTTAATAATTAACAGCCCCATGGTGAACTGGATAAACACTGCTGAAGTAGAATGACCCAAAGAAAAGAAAGACCTTTCTAAGCTTAAAATCGTTTGTAAATCCAAAGTGTTTATAAAGGGTTTCTCCTCAAGAGGGATGCTTGCTGTACTTTTAGATGGAATGAAGATGTAAGTGTCTTCCTCTTTCAGCTGCAAGAATTTTTATGCCAAGTCCTAATTTTATATACATTCATACCTTCTTTTGTGGATAAACTCTGAAGGTTTGTTTACTAGCCATAGTGGGAAAAGTATAGACGTGGGAGTTAGGAAGTTTGGAGAGAAGCTCAGGTTCCTTTGAATTCAACTGTAGGACTCTGGGAAAACTGCTTAACTTCTTTGAATCTCAGATGGTTCTTTTGGAAATAATGACAGGACTTACAAAGTCTGCCCTGCCTAAGCCCTAGGGTTATTATGGACTCAAGTGGGAGAAAGTGCTGGGCAAACCCTTAATGAAAATGTTACTATTATTATCAAGGGCGTTTAGCTTTATAGGCGACATGAATGCCTCTACTTTGCTTCTTGTTTATGCCACTTAAAAAGGAACTTGTGTTCTTAATTAAGTGGCCCAAAGGAATGCCAGATGAAGATAGGAGGGATGCCAACGAATTTTTGCACTCCACCGAGAGTTGGTTTTTTTTTTTTTTTTATCTTTGGACTTGGGAGAGAAGATTCAGGGTAAAAACTATTTTGTTTTTCAAGTACCTCAAAGTAATTGTCCTTGCTCATTTCCAATGTTTCCTAATTATGAGCACCTAGGTCTACTTTTCAGGCCAAGAGGATTCTGCTGCTCAAAATGCAAACGTGGATTATGTCAAGCCCGCGAATTAACGGAGAAAAACGAAAATAAGTAATATCACGTGGAAGAGACGCTCTTTACATTTCTTCCCCACTTCTGAAATCAATCTTTTTTTGGTACTGTTTACTGACCATTGCCAAGAGGGACTGGAGTTCGATCTCCAGGGTTTGAAGAGTACGTTTCATCTCGGTCAGCTCATTCCGAGCAGAGGTGGTGGCACCAGCGTCGTCGGAGATCTGCTGCTGCAGGGAGGCGCTCTGAAAGGTTGGGGAGGTAGGGGGTGGTTAGGGTATTGCCGGTCTTGCATCAGCGCCCAGGGCCACACAAGCGCGCACTGCCGGGGTTCTACCTTCTCATTGAACCAGGCCTCCGCGTCCCTGCGGTTCTGCTCGGCCAGGGCTTCGTACTCCGCCCGCATGTTGTTCAGCAGGACCGTGAGGTCCACCCCAGGCGCCGCGTTCATCTCCACGTTCACGTTCCCGCCGGCCGCGCACTGCAGCGCCTTCATTTCCTGAAAAATTTGACCAGTTTGGAGCTGAATATTTTCAAAGGAACCAGACCGACAGGATGCACAAGTGAGAAACTTCGTTTCTTTGGAGGCGGGAGGATAGAAACATTTCAAACAATCAGCCACACAGAGAAAGTGACGAGTTCCTTCTGGAATACTGATGTCCGACATTGTTGTACTGGTCATCTGAAATTCATTTTTAAATTTTGGGAGCAAGGCGGATCGTGGAATCGGGGAAGACAGAGACCTACCTCCTCATGATTCTTCTTGAGGTAAGCCAGCTCCTCGCTCAGGGTTTCCAGCTGGATCTCTAGGTCGGTTCTGCACAGAGTCAGCTCGTCCAGGACCCTGCGCAAACCGCTGACATCCGCATCAACGCTCTGGTGAAGGGCCTGTTCATTTTCAAACCTTAGAAGATATTTGACAGTTGTTATCACCTTAGTCCCATCACTTCTTAGGTCATCATAAAACGCCAACCATGATTCAAGGTCAAACTGTTAAAATATACTTAAAACTTCAGCTAGACTGCCCATAATGCAGTAAGCATTTCTTTGAAGTAAGAGAATGGGAACACTCAAAATTCTCTTTCATAGGATCTCAATATTCATTTGTATCGATTCCTAAATTTCCCAAATAAAACAGATCATTCAGCTGGTCATTCTTATGTGCATTTAGTTCAAAACAAGTTTAAACTATTGAGGTGACCCCCAATAGCTTAGCTTTAAGGCGGAAATGTTGAGAGAACTTCTTTGGTTTCTCTTCAGCTCTACTTACTTTAGCCTGAAGTCATCAGCTGTTAGTCTTGCATTATCATTTTGCAGGATAACATTGGCATTGCTGGTAGTTGCAGAAATGATCTGATAGATGGAAAGTTAGTTAGGAGTTAGGAAATGTCACATTTCCTTGAAAGAAGGTCACCTATGAAATTATAGGAATCTTCTGGCATTCTGTCTCCAATAAGATGATTCTTTTGCAAATGGGAAACTAAATATGGCCTCTTTCACCCTTCACCACCCCCCTCTACCATAAAGAAACACTTTCTATGGAAAAAGTTATAGTAATATAGCAAGAGATGGTGGGCGGTTTTTAATAGTTTCATATTACGAAAAGCATAAATATGCATACCTCGTAGCAGGTATAGGTGAGCTATGTTCAAAGATTACAATTTGAATGGAAATTATTTTTAATATTCATAATGAGTTATGGAAAATCAGAAGCTGAGAGCAAAGCCCTGCTGTGTGTGAGAGAGCTCACACATTCGTGTGTGCTTGTGTGGCTAAATATTCTTAGCGTTATTAACCCTCACAACATTGGGCTTCTTACCTGGTTCCTAAGGTCATCAATTATTGGGAAGTATCTACTGTAATCATGATCAAGACCACGGCAAGAACCAGGCCCGAATTTCTCGTACCAGCCCTTGATCTTCTGCTCCAGGTCAGCGTTGGCCTCCTCTAGTGCTCGCACATTTTCCAGGTAGGAGGCCAGGCGGTCGTTCAGGTTCTGCATGGTCACCTTCTCGTTGCCCGACAGGAGGCCGTGTTCATTTCCGGTGAAGGCAGCGCAAGAAGCACTTCCTCCACCCAACACCCCGCCATAGCCTCCTGCAGATGAGCTGCCCCCAAAAGCGCAAGAGAAGCCACTTCCAATGCCCGGCACACCACATGCATTTCCAGCCCCAAAACCTGCTCCCCCGCTGGAGCCAAGCCGTCTGGATGCAGAAGAAAAGCGCATAGACATGATGTCCAGACCCGCAGAGCTTGTTCCTGGAGTGAAGCTCTGATGGCAAATGTCCGGTTCGAACAGTTGAGTTTGTCTTTATATACACATTATCAGGGTGTTCCTCGACGAACCTAGCTACCCATAGCAAACTGGTGTTTGCCAGCTCATCATGAATTATTCATAATTGGGTGATTTTTTTTTTTTTTAATGAATGCCTTTACCCTACTGTGTCCATTTCTGTAGGTGGATAGTTACCTTGGGGTTATTTGTTATCTCCAAAATGGGACAGGGAGGAGTATTATCAAGATTATTATAGTGATGCATTTCAAATTTAGTATGAGCAATCCTTCCTGTCTTCCAGGTTTCAAGACTACAGAATTCCTATAAGAATAAAAAAGCGTCTAGACAGATTTCTCTTTCCTTGCTCAAACCAATGACATTACATTTTCTTTAGCAAGTGAGCCATCACAGTCACGGGTTTCAGTGGATAATATGGTCTTTCTTTGAAAATAATTTCAAGACCAAGTCTCATGGTACCAGAGGAAGGAGGCCAGGTCTTAAATGAGAAATGAGGATTTAAATGGACTCTTCTTTGGAGACAGAAACTCTTCCTTGATCCTTATCCCTCCGGAATTACCATTTCATCTTTACTGGTTTTCTGTCTAAGGTATAAAGGTATTAGCTAATTTCTCTGGGTCCAGCTTTCTTATCTGTAAAACGAAGGGACCAGACTATGGCCTGTATGTTCCCTTTCTATTTCTAGATTTCTTGTATTTTTATATTTCTTCCCTTTCATTATTTCTAGAAAGACTTTCTGCATTTACTTCCTCCATACTTCCCCTCCTACTCACTCCTGAATTTTGGTCCCCTACTTTACTGAAAATAACCTCAGATTGCTAATTATCTCACATCCAGTCCAGTCATTGTTTCTTATGTTTATTCTCCTACACCCTCTTGGACACATTTGATACTGACCACCCCAGGCTTACTGAATTCTGAACAAATGCCCTCTGAAAATACTTCTATTGGAATATTTCTGCTTGTTCTTCTTCTTTCTTCCATTTGGTGTATCTGTGCTTTATATCTTGTCATTCCTTATAGTTTTGTGCCTGGCACTCTTGTTTTCTACACATTATTCTTTGGTGCTGTCATCCCTTCTTGTCACTTTGACTGTAAGTGAATGGTTTCTAAATATACATCTTTAACACTGGCCTGTGTCCCATTCTAGACCTACACCTCACTATGCCCACCAGACATTTCTGCTGGATGATTTCTAACTCAACACTCAATTACCTTGTCATCAAACTTTGAACTTTTCTATCTTTTTTCACTACCTATTGGTGAAATTACCCTGAGTCACACTCATGATTGCTAAGAAATCTTTAATTTCTATCATCTTCTACAGGCCTACATCTAGCAAGTCACTAGGTCCAACTGAATCTACTTCTGCAGTGCCTTTTGAAACATTTTTCTCTTTTCTATTTTTTTTCTCACTATCATTTTTTTTAGCTCAATGATTGGATTTTTGGTTCAAGTCTTTTTCCTTTCCACCCTGGTCAGTAGGCAGAGCAGTAAGTTAAGATACCATTCCTGTAATAATACACAACCATTCATGTCATTGAAAGAATGTGAGTTCTTCGATCAAATATATCATCATTCATATCCTAGTTCTGCAACTTTCCGGCTGTGTGACCAATGCAGAGTTCCTTCTTGCTGAGCCTCCGTTTCTAGGACGGATACATGACTTGTGTTTTGTGAAGCTATTAAATGGTAGTTACATTTGTAAAGCAATTATGCTTGTCGATAATATGTAGTCAGTAAATATTTCTTTCCTTTTCCCACTTTCCTACAGTTTAAAATCAATGGACTATAAGCTTGATAAAGCTCCTTCGCCTGATGTGTAAGTTTCTTCTTGAGGTAGGTCATACCTACCTGATTTGTGCATTCTTTCACTTTACTATTCTGCTCCCCTCCCTCCTTTTGGTCTTTGCTCTTGTTGTTCTTTCCAGTTGAGACTATTTGAGATCTTGCACTTGCCAAGAACAATGGACATCACTCTCAATCATACAGATTAAAAATGAAATTGCTAAAAATATAAATTTTCATGACCTAATAAGTGAATCTGCAGAAAAGCAAGCCAGAAAAATCTGTTGATCAAGAAATCATATTAATAAAGCATTAGAATTTATTGTATTGCATAAAATCATGACATGAAAAATGTTATTTTTAGCAATTTGTAAGATTATATTATTATATATTACTACTACCTCTACTACATGTTTTTTTTTAAAGATTTTATTTATTTATTTGAGAGAGAGAGCGTGAGAGGAGAGAAAGTCAGAGGGAGAAGCAGACTCTCTGCGGAGCTGGGAGCCTGATGCAGGACTAGATCCTGGGATTCCAGGATCATGACCTGAGCCGAGCCAAAGGCAGTGGCTTAACCAACAGAGCCACCCAGGCACCCAACAAGGATTTTTTTTTGTAAGTAGGCTACATGCCCAGTGTGGGGCCTGAACTCTTAACCCTGAGATCAAGAGTCACATGTTCTACTGTCTGAGCCAACCAGGTAACCCCACTCTACTGCATGTTTTAAGTAATAAAATATTTTTTTAAAAAATTTATTTATTTATTTATTTGACACACAGAGAGAGAGAGAGACAGTGAGAGAGGGACTACAAGCAGGGGGAGTGGGGGAGGCAGAAGCAGGCTTCCTGCTGAGCAGGGAGCCCAGTGTGGGGCTCGATCCTAGAACCTTGGGATCATGTCCTGAGCTGAAGGCAGAGGCTTTAACGACTGAGCCACCCAGGTGCCCAGTAATAAGATATTTTAAAGAAAGAAATTTATGTGTTAGTACCTCTAACTGAACCTTTTCCTGACTTTTGGACAAGGGACCCGATACTTTCATTTTACACTAGGCCCTACAAATTAGGTATCCATCTGTGATTGTTGGGTCCTTCTCTGGGGTAGCCAAAGAGTTCTAGAGAAAAGACCTGCAGATACTTTGAGTGTTTCCCATAAGAGAATGCTTACTACCCATCCACCCTGGAGTGAAATACACACATTGCCTCCAAATATTTAGGACCTTACTCTTACAGATGAGCAGAATTTTAAAAATCACCATACACTGAAAAAACATTCCAGCATGAAAGACAAAGACTTGAAGAAAGAAGCAAAAAATGGCACTTGACAAACAGACAATCGAGGAAGCTGAAGAAAACTTAAAAAAAAAAACAAACAAAAAACGAAACTACCTATCATTAATGCCCTTAGAAGTAACAAATATACTACATATTTGAAGCATGAATAGAGTATCATTAAAATTAAACAGCAGAGCACAAGAATGGGCTCTCAGAATGAAAAAAATAACTCCCAAAATAATTTCCAAAATAACTTCAATAGATGCATTGGAAAATAAGCTTTAAAAAAAAACCCCCTAGCAGTTGAGCAAAGGTCAAAAAGACAGATAAAAGAAAGGATTAGAAAATTAGAGGCTTAATTCAAGAAGAACAACCTTAAGTAAATCTTTCAGAGAGAAAGGGGAAATGATGAAGAAATTATTTTATAAGTATATTTTATAACACTACTCAGAACTAAATGACTGAGCTTCTAAATTGAAGAGACCACCAAGAACTATGAGTAATAAATGAAAAAGAATCACAGCAGAGCACATGTTCAGTTTATTTCAGAGAACCGTGGAGAAAAAGAGAACACAAAGTGTCAGAAGAAGAGACAACACCCATCCAGTGATGGGGAAATCAGATGGCTCTGAACTTCCCAACAACCCTGGAATCCATGATTCCAGTGAAGAACGCCTTCAAAATTCTCCTTGAAAATGATGTCCAACCCCAAATTCTCTACTACAACAATTAGTCATGAGTGAGGGAGAAAAATATTTTCAGACATGAAAGTTCTCAAAACATTGATCTCCTTCACACATTTTGTCAGGAAACCACTAGAAAGAAAAGTGAACAAGAAAAGAGAAAGCTCAGAATCTGAGAAATGGGGTCCCAGTACAAGTGCACCGAATGCATGACCCTAAAGATAGCTGGTAGCAAGTTAGAAAAACCAATAAGAAGAGAGGATTCTTGAATTGGATGTCTAGATGAAAGATGAAAAAGATGGATGAAAATAGGTGGGGATAGATGGAAATGATGGATTTTGTTTGTTTGAAAATGGTTTTGTTCATGTAAGAAAGAGGCATGAGAGATTAAGGTATACAGGAAACTAAGTTAATAAAAATATTAGAAAAATATTTTGAAGAACAAAAAGCTGTACAAGAAAACATGGCATATACTGCCAGCATAATGATGAACAATATCCACTTAGTCATACTGGTGAGAAGACTGAACACTGGTTTAGCCAAATATTGTGGTAGAGCTATGTTAGGAAGAGGAGAAAGGTGGTAAAGGCAAAACTCTCAACTTTCTTTAAAGAACACAATATATAATATGTAAAACTGGTAAATCAAGAAATATTGAATGAAGCATATTATATAAAAATCTAGAGATAAAGATGACAAGGAAGAGCTAGAAGAGTTGTAAATGGTTGCCTATAGAGGGCAGAGCTTGAGGTAGAAGAAGGGAGAGAAAAAGATACCACGTTTTTTGTTTTTACTTTTATTTTATTTAATATTTTATTTATTTATTTAATTGACAGAGAGAGAGAGAGGGAGACCGCGAGAGAGGGAACACAAGCAGGGGGAGTTGCAGGGGAGAAGCAGGTTCCCCACTGAGCAGGGAGCCAGATTACAGGACTCTGGGATCATGACCTGAGCCAAAGGCAGATGCTTAATTAACATGTTACGACTGAGTCACCCAGGCGCCCCTTGTTTTTACTTTAAGCACAATTTAACTGTTAAAACAACGTGCATTCATTACTTCGATAAAAAGTAAAAATTTATTTAAAACTAACAAAGAGAAAAAAAATCCCAAATGCATATCAGAAGTTTCATTTTAAAATTTACAAATAAACTTGATACATAATGCAGTTTAAAAGAATAGACACTGTGGTATCTCCATGTCTCGCAGTTAAATAAGACTAGATGAAATACCCTAATGCTGGATAAATTATTATAAAATGCCTTTTAAATTCATATCTAAGCTCAAAAGAAAATAAAGGAAGTCATTAAAAAAAGAAAAAGGAAAACACATAGAGTCAAAACACGAGTGGTGAGCAGACACAGAAGTTTGAGCTGTCCCAGAAATATGCTCAGAGCAGAAACAGATTTTTCTGGTTAAGAGACCCGGTGAGGGATAAGATTTGGACCTTACCAAGTGTCATAGCTAAACTTGAGACCCCACTTAAAACTATGTACCCCCCCTGGGGTGCCTGGGTGGCTCAGTGGGTTAAAGCCTCTGCCTTCAGCTCAGGTCATGATCTTAGGGTCCTGGGATCGAGCCCCGCATCGGGCTCTCTGCTCAGCAGGGAGCCTGCTTCCTCCTCTCTTTCTGCCTGCCTCTCTGCCTACTTGTGATCTCTGTCTGTCAAATAAATAAATAAAATCTTTAAAAAAAACCAAAAAACTATGTACCCCAAAGCCTATGTTGTCAGTGGAAAGGATGAAGTTAGAGAAATTTCCATGCTGGCAAAGCACAGAAACAAGCATGTCATTCTGTTGCCAGTGGTACTGAGTAAAAATTCAATACTATGACTATTATTGATATTTGATAATGACTTATCATTATGCTCTTACTCTGATACAGTCTAGCAGTTTGAATTTATGCCCACTTAATCTGAGAACCCCAATCTAAGAATTCGTTTAAGACATTTTTAGGTTTGGGTGTCTGGGTGGCTTGGTTGGTTAAGCGTCCAACTCTTGTTATCGGGTCAGGTTTTTATCTCAAGAGCTCAAGCCCTGTGTTGGGCTCCATACTAAATGTGGAGCTTACTTAAAAATAAAAAGTAAATTAAAAATAATTTTTTTTTATTTCTTAAAGATTTTATTTATTTGACAGAGATCACAAGTACGCAGAGAGGCAGGCAGAGAGAGGGGGGGGGGAAGCAGGCTTCCCACTGAGCAGAGAGCCCGATGCAGGACTCGATCCCAGGACCCTGAGATCATGACCTGAGCTGAAAGCAGAGGCTTAACCCACTGAACCATGCAGGTGCCCCTAAAAATAATTTTAGAAAAATGTTTTCAGTTTGGTAATGCTTTGTAGTACCCTGGAGAAATCACCCCATTCCTGGCCCTACAGGACTCCCGAAGTTAAATTACAAGCACATTTACACTCATAATAAAATAAAATAAACATATGAGAAAACAAACACGTATGACTAAGAGCCAACATTACTATGTCTATAGAATAGAACATCAAAGAACAATGATAATGAGATCTCAAGAAAGTGTATGCAAAGAAAGTGTGGGTTTTTGTGTGTGTGTGTTTAGAGAAGTGAAAGAGAGAACTGGAAGTGTTCCAAATGAATAACTATTAAAAATGACTCAGTAAATTTCAAATAGAAATGGCAATGGAAAGGAAATGGATGAAGAGGATTAGGTGTGCACTTAACTAGATGAACACTGAGCATCTTGGAACTGTTAAATCACTATATTGTACATCTGCAACTAACATAACACTGTGTGTTAATTATACTTGAATAAGAAAAAGAAATGGGAAATACAATAACTAAAATTAAGAATTTTAACTGAGGGGATGCCTCGGTGGCTCAGTCATTAAGCGTCTGCCTTTGGCTCAGATCATGATCCCAGAGTCCTGGGATCAAGCCTCGCATCAGGCTCCCCACTCTGGGGGAAGCCTGCTTTCCCTCTCCCACTCCCCCTGCTTCTGCTCTTGCTGTGTCTCTCTCTTTCAAATAAATAAATAAAATCTTAAAAAAAAAAGGAATTTTAACTGGGGATTAAGCAACAGATAAGACACAACTAAGGAGGAAATAAGTAAATTGTACGAAAAATAAAAGTTTATTGTTCTAGATGGAAGAGAATGAGTTGGAAGGAGGGAGGAAGGAAGGGGGGAACGAGAGAGAGGAAGAGAGAGGGAGTTTGGAGAGAAACTCTGAAATACTTTTCACTGGAGTATCCCTAGAGACAATACTAATGGGGTAGAAGGTAAGAATTTTCTAGAATGGGGCAGAAGGTAAGAATTTTCTGGAATAGATTAGAAACAGTCCTCCAATTCAAGAGGCAAAGTGAATTTAAGAGTCTACTTCTAGTCACATTGTAGTGATGTGGAAGAATACCAAAGACAAGGTAGAAGACCTTAAAGCAGCCAGAGAAAATAGAGATCATCTACAGAGGAACCATAATTAGACTGTCAGCAGCTTCCACTAGCAACAATAGTGTTACTGGAATGATCGCTACAAAATATATTTTTTTTAAAGATTTATTTATTTATTTTAGAGAGGGGGTAGGAGGAGAAGAGGGAGAGAGAAACTCAACCCAACTCTGTGCTGAGACCTGAGCCTGATGCAGGGCTGGATCTTATATCCCATGATACCACAACCTGAGCTGAAACCAAGAGTTGGACACCTAACTGATTGGCACCACCCAGATGCCCCTCTACAAAATATTAAGAAAAATATTTACCACGTTAAAACTGAGCGCCAAGCAAAGCTGTCTTTCAAGAATAAGGTATGGATTCTAAGAAATCATGGCAATGGTTGCAGAATTTTTGAATCCTCACAAAGAAATCACACAGAACAATTATATCACAAAACCAGAGACCTATATACAACGTTTTTAAAAAAGATTTTATTTATTTATTTGAGAGACAGAGATCACAACTAGGCAGAGAAGCAGGCAGAGAGAGAGGAAGAAGCAGGCAGAGAGAGAGGAAGAAGCAGGCTTCCTGCTGAGCAGAGAGTCAGATGCTGGGCTCGATCCCAGGACCCTGAGATCATGACCTGAGCCAAAGGCAGAGGCTTTAACCCACTGAGCCATCCAGGTGCCCCTGTATACAACTTTTGTTACAAATCTAGCTGACAAGGTATTACCATGAAACCCAAAATGTAAGCTGGTAGAACAAATTACCATTAGCCACTAGACTTTTGTGGGAAGAAGAGGGAATCCAGAGGTATTTGAAGGGTCTGATTATTGGAGAATTATGGAAAGCCAACTGAAAAGGACTGCAGGTGCATTGGAGAAGAACAGGTAGAAACTATAACCTGAAACTGGGTTTGCCTCTTGGTAGGTGGGAGCCAAGACAAAATCAAGCCAAAGAAGAGGAAAAGAAAGGGTTAATTACTTGCAACAAGCCAGGAGAACACCATGGATATTCCCAAACAACAAAATTAGGGAAGTTTTAAGGTACATGTGTATTCATGTGGGGCTTGGCAAGGGAGAATTCAGTAAAGAGTTGGGACAAAATCATCCTAATTGGACAGGTTCTAGTTGACTGAAGTCATGGGGTGGGGAGGAGGTCAGCATCACCAATTCGCTGTTCCAGTGAGTCTGGTGTTTGAGTGCTCAAAAGGGTTTAAATCCTGTAAAAAATGACTCAAGGATATGTATTAGGTCAATCTTTATTTTTCAAACAGTCCTGGAAGTATTATCATTAATTTGTTGTCTCTGATATGGTTAGGCTATTTCCTGGCCTGGTACAGACTTAGTTTCTACATTCCCGTTATTCCTTTAAAATCCTTAACTACTGGGATTTTCACATTTTTTGATTCAGTGTATCCTAGGAAGTGTGCTTGGGCAAGGAGTGCTGGCACAGAGTGGCTGGGGGCTAAAATGACTTCTCTTATGTTAAGAAAGCTATGACTCGACTTTCCTTTTCTGGGGACCTGTAACCCTATCTGCCTACAAAACTGGGAGAGTTTTGCCCATTCAGAAGTAGGTGAGTGAAAAGAGTCTCGCATGAGCTCAGACGGAAACAGTCTAGACGTTGTGAATTCTTGAAACGGATCAGCTGTGTTTCCTTTCCAGGAGAGTGCCTTACCATGAGAAGAAACCCCCGGAAGAAGAATTGAAACTGATCAGAAGAGGGTCGGTAGAGATGTAGGGAAGAGAAGGTCTGGATACATTGGAGGAGAGAAAAAGAGACAAGAAGTTTGAAATCAAGCCAATATATTTTTGAACTCTAGATGAAAAATGAGAAAAGGTATCTATCTATGTGCAGTTAGAAAAGCTGTATGGAACTATACTCATACTAGAGGTTAAGGAACGTGAAATGCCTATAAAAATGAGCAGAAGAAAAGGATTGAGGTAAAATCCCACAAAACGTCAGCACATAAAAACAAAAAAAGTAGGAGCTGAATTACATCTCTATAGAAAAGGAGAGTATCCCAGAAAGACATGTCCACAAAACAGATTAAGATACAATGTACCACTTCAAAGTGATCTCAAATGCATTAAAAAATGGTGGTTGAAAAAACAGTCAACACAAGCCATAATTAGGACACTTCGAAATGAGAAGACAGAATTTACTAGGAAAGGATTAGATATAAAAGCAAACAAAATCATTATACTGAATAAGATCCAAATACAGGCAATGAGAAGTTTAGGGGAAATCAGTTCCCAGAGAAAAGACGTATTCTGGAAATATACACTCTTCAGTTAAATGTTAGCCAATACAATTCAGTAGTATATTAAATAACATTTTACTAATCCAAGGAGTGATACATAGGAAATGAGGATGGTTATACTACATGCATAAAATGTCATATGACAAAAGTCCTCTGATCATCTCGAAAGTACTAAAAGAAAAATATGGGCAATTTTACCTATCTTGTTGGAATGGCAAAGACCTTTCTCAGCAGATGTAAAACTCTGAATCTATGATGGAAATTGATCTATATATATTATAACGTATTATAAAATTCTGTGTGATGACAAAACATATTAAAAGGGAAAGAGAAACAGCAACCCATTTGCAATACCCAACAACAAATGGTAATTCACTCTTGTAATGAGCATTCGCAGACCTTGGCTGTTAGAAGAAGGGATATGAGTTTGTGATTTCTGCTTTAACAACCTCGCCAGCATGGTATCTGAAGTCCTCCTTTAGATGGCAACCGATTGCTTAGAAGCTTACCACAGCAAAAAGTACCCTTCAAGGATTGGAGAAAAACATGTAATTTTTTTTAAATTTCTTTTCAGCATAACAGTATTTATTGTTTTTGCACCACACCCAGTGCTCCATGCAATCCGTGCCCTCTTTAATACCCACCACCTGGTTCCCCCAACCTCCCACCCCCCCACCTCTTCAAATCCTTCAGATTGTTTTTCAGAGTCCATAGTCTCTCATTGTTCACCTCCCCTTCCAATTTCCCCCAAATGCCTTCTCCTAACTCCCCATGTCCTCCATGCTATTTGTTATGCTCCACAAATAAGTGAAACCATATGATAATTGACTCTCTCTGCTTGACTTATTTCACTCAGCATAATCTCTTCCAGTCCCGTCCATGTTGCTACAAAAGTTGGGTATTCATCCTTTCTGATGGAGGCATAATACTCCATAGTGTATATGGACCACATCTTCCTTATCCATTCGTCCGTTGAAGGGCATCTTGGTTCTTTCCACAGTTTGGCGACCGTGGCCATGCTGCTATAAACATTGGGGTACAGATAGCCCTTCTTTTCACTACATCTGTATCTTTGGGGTAAATACCCAGTAGTGCAATTGCAGTGTCATAGGGAAGCTCTATTTTTAATTTCTTGAGGAATCTCCACACGAAAATCATGTAATTATTAAAAGAACTCCTGAAGAACTCAGGAGCCCTAGAATTCTGCAGAGCAACGGAAAATCATAGGTCTAAAGGCCATGGTGAATTCATAACTCTCCTTGAAAGGGAGAACAGATTTAAGACTAAGTTCTGAGGATGGGGTATTTGCTTTGATCCTATGAACTCAACAGAATGTAAAGGAAACACACCCAGAATTTAATTTTACATCTGTTCCTTAGCTAAATAGATACACAGGGAATTCTGGTTTGTTTCCTTGGCAAAAAATTGTTAAAAAACAAAATTCAACAACAGAAAAGCAAGAGGTTTTTAGCAACAGAAAAAAAAAACTAAAGGATTGTTACTTCTTCTTTTTGGGGGAAAGAGGAGAGCAGGGGGGTTTTTTGTTGGGTTTTTTGTTGTTGTTGTTTCTATCATGCAGATGACCTCACCAGTAATGATCAGGACTTTTCAGATTGACTGTTAAAAGGTCACATTCCTAGAAAAGGTTGAATCTAGTTAAGTCTTGGTTTGCTGTTGTGGCGGACATATGACTTCATTATAGGCTTGTAGTTTCTTTCTTTCCTTTTTTTTTTTTTTTCAACAAAATGATGACTTAGAGATAGTTGCTTTTCTTTCTGATCTTGTAACATTAAAGCAACCTTACCACAAAGTACAATGTGTGCTCCCCATTCTACTGCAGGAGTACAACTCTGATTTCAATTCCAGGGTGAGGGAACAGTTCTTAGACACCAGCAACAATTCTCCCACACTCAATTCTGACATTTTCTACCTGGAGATAGGCAAAGGATTCAGTCCTGTTAGACTGCTCACTCTGCCTCCAACTGGTTCAGACCCTCGTCTCAAGTCTAGGTTGTCATTTGTGCTTCTAAACCCACTGGCTGTTGGGTCAAAGGCTTTCTGCCAATCCCCTCCCCTCCTTGGTTTGATTAATTTGCTAGAGTGGTTCACAGAACTCAGAGAGACATTTTATTCACTAGATCACTGGTTTATTACCAAAGGAACAGTCATATGAAAGAGATGCATAGGACATGGTATGGGGAAAGGGTGTGGAGCTTCTGTGCCCTCTCCAGGTGTACCATTGTCCCCAAATCTCCACATGTTCATCAATTTGGAAGCCCAGCAAACCCCGTCCTCTTGGGTTTTTATGGAAGCTTTGTTACATTGGTCTGGTTGATGAAATCATTGGCCTTTAGTGATTGAACTCAAACTCCACACCCCTCTCCCCTCCCAGGAGGTAGGGTTGGGGGTGGGACTGAAAGTTCTAACCCTCTACTCACAGGGTTGGCTCAACTGATAGCCATCCCTCCGTCTTTAGTTTCTTTATAGGCTTTCCAAAAGTCACCTCATTAACATCACAAAAGAACCTTGCTAGCTCTGGACATCTTGGAAGTTCCAAGGGTTTTAGGAGCTCTGTGCCAGAAATGGGACAAAAACATATTTCTTATTACAAATCACAGTATCACACAATGAAACACTGATCACCAAGAAGTGTTTTTATTTAAAGTCAATGTGTTCTGAGCATACCTGATCAGCAGGGCTGGCTTCATCAGTGTGAAACCTGTGCATGACACAAGGTTTCCTGTTCAGGAGGACCACACACTTGGTTTAATGCTCTTCTGATGCCATCTTGGTATTCTTAATAATACTGGTCTGCAGTTTTTCCTTCCTGCCTCAGCAGCCTGTAGCATAAGCAATGCCGAGTTGCACAGCCTTCTGATGCATCCATCCTGTGGAGTTTGCTGAAACTGAAAGCAAGTTTAAGGTTAAGTATGTCTGCGACTGAGTAAGTAGGGTTTCCGACAACCCTGAGAGTTTTTCCACTCAAATGGATTTGTTTCAGATGCAGAAAGAAGGCAGTGGTGTTCTAAGGAACAGGAACTACCAAGGAACCTTATCACATACTCTTATATTCCTATATGAGCCAACTACTTAGGCTGAAAACAGTGATGTAGAAGAATAGGGCAACCCACACCATCTTTTCCTGTCTTTTTTATCATCAGTATGTCAATGGTGGACAGTGTTGGCAGAATGTGAGCAGATAAAGGAGTGAAAGAAAACCTGTTGAGTTGGTTTGGTGCAGTGTGTCCACTGTTTTGGTAAAAGAACAAAATACAGATGTTTGTGTAGGGGCCAACCAAAGGCAGGGTGCCTCAAAATATGCCACTTTGGTGTACTATTTTATTTTATTTTAGTTTTTTTTAAAGATTTAATTTATTTGAGAAAAAGTGAGTGAGAGAGAGAGAGACCACAAGACAGGGGAGGGTCAGAGGGGAGAAACAGTCTCCCTGCTAAGCAGGGAGACTGATGTGGGGCTCAATTCTAGGACTCTGGGATCATGACCTGAGCTGAAGGCAGGTGCTTAACTGACTGAACCACCCAGGTGCTCCTGGCATATTGACTATTTTAAATAAAAGCTACTTAAGGGATAGCTTATATAAGGACACTCAGACCTCCTCTGTCCCCCTGAAAGCAGGAAATAAATCTCCCATGTAAAACATACTCTATACTAAGAGGTAAAGAGATGTCCTTATTACCGAAGATGGAAAAATTAGAGCCAAGAAGGTTGTATAAAAAACTCTTGTTACTTTTTAGTGATTTACCACCACAGCCTGAATTCCATTTAGAATTCCTTACTAACTGAAGCTCCCAAAGCTGTTTTCTTTCTCCTGTCAATTGCTTACAGATTTAATTTTCTCTTTGTCTAAAAAGTATAAAAACTGCCTGCCTGGGTCATGTCTTTGGGTCTCAAATTCATTATTGGGTCTCTGTGCACATGTGATAAGACTTTGTTTTTTTCTCCTGTTAATCTGACACATGTAGATTAATTCTTAGTCTAGGTGGAAGACCTTGAAGAGTCGAGGAAGAATTTTTCGTTCCCTTCACATATATCCGCTACAAAATATGGCTTGTGTTATTTTGGTGATTCTGTGTACAAGTTAAATGTCCTTATATTTGAATTTTAAATGGGTATTTCCCAATATAAAAAAGAATGGCAAAATTTATGCCAATAAGTGTACATTTTAATTTTAATTTACTTTAGAATGACATTAAATGGCAAATTTAAAAATCATGACAAGTAGAGTTCATGACTGCAGAAGAAAGGAAAAAACTTTATATTTTAGTGCCTTTAATGACACCTTATCCCTCTGATTTTTTAACGAGGGACTCCACATTTCATCCTGCACTTAGCCCAGCAAATTACACAGCTGCCCTGTACACTGCATATTTGGGAGATTATTTTCCCATGAGTTTTTAGTATTTGCTTCATCTGATGCCTTTTGACTCAAGATTTGGTAAACATCCCATCCTTTGTCACTTCTTTAACTCCCGTGTGGCTGTTGCATTTTTGGGTAGAAGTCCCACCTTCTCTAGAGCTTCTCAGAATCAGGCCACATACTACAGAAATAGGAGAGCTGCTCTCCTTTTAGGGAATTTAACATTTGTTAGGACTCCTTACCCTACATTTTGATCCAGAAACATAGAAAGACACAATAACTGTGATCATCAACCTCATGAGATTTTAAATTCTAGACCAGGTGTTGGTGGGCTGAATCTGGTCTGTTACCTGTTTTTGCACAGCTCATGACCTAAGAATGTTTTTCACATTTATAAATGGTTGGGGAAAAATCAGAATCATAGTTCATAATACATCAAACTTAGTTGCAGTCTGAGTTTCAGTGTCCATAAATAAAGTTTTATTGGGACATGGTCATGCTCATTCATTTACCTATGTCTAGGGCTGTTTTCTGTGATAAATGTCTTAGCCAACTAGTTGAAATAGAGACATTATGGCCTGCTAAGCCTGAACTAGTTGCTGTCTGGGGCTCAACAGAAAGTTTGCTCTAGGAAAAAAAAGTCATTCACATGAGGCTCATTGCTGTGGATCTTTCCAGAGTTAATCCTGATTGTATGGGGAACAGTATCCTGGGAAGTATCCAGATCTCTGGAAGAATTTGATAAACTCATTGGTAAAAAAAATACCAGGAATGCGCCATCTAGTGATGGGATTTTTTAATCATAGGAGAATTTCTGATTTTTTCCCCAGATTATTTGCCCGTGCAAAATGGTGAGTTAGTTAATTACCTCGTGAATATTAATACTTAAATGCCATGTGCTACTGACTATTATTTAAAACTTGAGTGAAAGGCAATAAAAATAGATTCCATGCATGTATGCCCGTGAATGAGATGTAGAAAAAAACCCTCAAATAATTGCTTATTAGTTATAGGTAAATGGAAATGAGTACACATCCACTTTTTTATTTATTTGAAAACAAACACCCAAGAATCTATAAAAGTTAACTAAGAAAACAGGTATTTTTGCTAAGTAACTTATCGGTAAGGGTAGAAATGTTTATTTTTTTGTTTTGTTTTGTTTTTCTTCTCTTTGTTATTTAGAATAATGCAGTTGTACAGGATCCTTTTTTCCCAGATTGTTCTTCTCTCAATGCTGTCTAGAATGGAACTTTTTGCTCTGTTTTACCATTGGTCATTTTAGATGTCTTTTCTTCAATGGAGTGAACTCTTGATGAAAGAACTTTACCACGTTGATCTATCTCTTCAACCACTGTCTTTACCAGTGTGGTTTTGGATAATTCTAGAAACAAAACACCTGTGAATACACATATTCCAGCTAAAAGATTACATGAGGAAGAATTCCAGTGCTGGTCGTGATATATTATGTACACTTTGGTTAGAGCATGTACAGATTTATCATAATAGTTTGGGATAATTTCATCCACTTAAAATAATACTTTAAGTTCAAAGCATTTGAATTAAAATTACTTAAAATAATACAGAGCATTATCGTTGTCACGGTATATGATTGTCATTAATGGGAAAGTACTTGCAGTAGAAACAGAACTAGATTTTATTACCTTTAGGTGAATTCCCTGAGGCTCCTGATCCAAAGCCCTTTGATTTGGAGCATGAGCTGCAAAACAAAAACAAAAACAAAAACAAAAAACCAGTTTATTCTTTAATATTTCAGATTACTACTTAAGAAATATTCATTGAGTCAAAAGATGGACATGAACTCAAGGAAACTTTGTACGCCAAAAACAGATCTTAGTTTTCTGTAAAGGAAAATATTAAAATTTGGGGGTATAGGAGGAGAAAATAATTAAATGTCTTCTAAAGAGAGAATATAACATAACTTTGTTTTCATTTGATTTGTTTTTTTTTAAACCCAAGGATTTATAACCTAAGGAGAATATATATACATATTCATATACATATATAATATAGTCTATATACACATGTATGAATATATACTTTTTAAATGAAAATAATACTTTTTTAGAGACAGAGAGAGGTGGGGGAGAGGCAGAGGGAGCAGGAGAGAATCTTAAGCAGGCTTCTTGTCCAGTGGGGAGCTAAATGTAGGGGTGAATCTCACAAGCCTGAGAGCAGGACCTGAGCCAAAATCAAGAGTTGGATGTTTAACTGACTGAGCCACCCAGGGGCACCTCCTTTTTTTTTTTTTTTTAAAGTGTTTTGTTTATTTAAGTAATCTCTACACCCCTGTGGGTTTCGAACTCACAACCCTGAGATCAAGAGTTTCATGCTTCTGGGGGAGCATACAGATCCTGGGGGGTTGTATAGAGTGCATTTATTTCAGAGCAGCAATTATATTAGGTACAGAGTGAAAGATGGGTAAAGCCTGGTGGGGGGTAATCTTGAAACCTACAATGATTAACATGGATACAGAATGGCGTGTTCTGGGGGGACAACTGGGGTCATCCGAGGCAGATGAAGAAGGGGCTGTGATGTAGAAAATATGGCAGGGCTGACCACAGAGGGAAGAGGTGGACACATGTCTCTGGAGTGGGAATTTAGAACAAAAGGCTTGGAGGCATGGAACATGGAGGGACAGTCCATGGTTGTGGTTTAAACTAGGTAACAACCTATTCAGTAAAATACTGGATTTTCAAATGGTGTTACTCACTTCCCATCTCCATCAATCAGGCGGCAGTAGGTCTCAATCTCCTTTTCCAGGTGGACCTTGAGGTCGAGGAGCTGTTCATACTCCAGCTTCTGGCCCTCCATCTCGGTTCTGACCTGATGCAGCTGCTCCTCCAGGGCCCCGATCTGAGCCTGGATCTGGGCGAGCTGCGCACAGTAGTTGCCTTCCGTCTCGGTCAGGGAGCACTCCAGGGAGTGTTTCTGAGGACAGGGGATGTCGCAGCAAGGATGAAGCCACTTTGAGGACTATGCAGGCCAGAGCTTCTCGGCAAACAGCAGCCCTGTTTCCTAGGTGAGTTTTGGAAATCTCTGGGGCTCATCACAACCACATGGGAGGTGCAGAGGAAGGGGAAGTCGCAGGCATTTCCCTGGGAGGGGGTCTGGCATGTTGGAGGACCTGATATGGCATAAATGACCCTTTCCCATGAGACTTTTGAGTCTTCCAACGGACTTCCATGGTATTTAGGTAATATTTCCTATCATGATCAACCTACATGTCTTAAAACTCTCTTTGGGGGATAGTGCAATAAGAAATCATATTGGAAATTTTATATATTGAAGTTATGTATTTATTTTTGGGTTGGTTTTTGTTTTTCAATCTTATTCTGCTCCTGTCTCCAGAGACCTACCCCACCACTGCTCCAAGGCCTTGCGTGCTGCCGTTTGTTTTTCTGCTCTGTCCTGGATTTGCGTGCTGTTATTCAAAGGTCTTTTATGAAGTACTTGAGATAGAATGAATGCCTTAACAGGGGTGGGCTTTCAACACAAGAGATGTGTTTCACAGCACAGTACAGGTCATTATTTCCATACTACTCTTATGAATATTATACCTCCTCATTTCTCCTTGCACAGCCTGTCATCTGTCTCATCATGTGATGTCTGCTTCAATTAAAGTAATTTTCCTCTCCCCTTATTATAGATGAATACCTCTGGGTGGTTATTACTTCTCTTGATATTAGTAATTATCCAAGTGTCCACCCCCATTCACACTCTTTCAGTTTCCTGTTCTTGTGTGGAGCCACTCCTGATCTTACCTTATTTAAAATAAAAATTTATTTATCAAGGGAAGGGTAAACCTCGATCTCTCTCATTACATGTTCTGAGGTCGTTGGGCCCAAGTGTTTACATATTAAGTATTTTTTTATTTAAAAATAAATTTTTTTGATGATGTTTATTTTTTTAGTTTTAGTTTTCCTTTTTATTGCACTTATGGCATTATAATGGTTTTTAAAATTTTTTGTATTACTAAATACATCATCTATTGACTTCATTCTAGGATAAAGAGGGAGTTATAAAATATTCATCATAACAGGTGGACATGGTGTTTGATGGGGCTAAGAACCACTGACTTAATAAATAGGCCAGTTTGGGCATTACATGGGTGGTGCTGGGCTCTCCAGGGCAAAAGAGTGGAAGGTGAACAGGACGGTAACGGGGAGGAGGAGGCCCCAACTGGAAAGACATCAGTGAGGTGTGTGCTCTGCTGTCCAAAACTTTAATTTTCCTGATGATGTATCCTCATATGGTATTCATTTTATTCTTTTTTTTTTTTTAAGGGGTTGAGGGGTAAAGGGAGAGGGAGAGAGAGAGAGAGACTCTCAAGCAGGCTCCCCGCCCAGCACAGAGCCTGATGAGGGGCTGTCTCAACCCTGAAATCATGACCTGAGCTGAAATCAAGAGTTGGATGCTTAACTGACTGAGCCACCCAGATGCCCCTGGTATTCCTTTTTAAGTCTGCAAATGCTCTTCTTAATCAGAGGGCACGGCATTCCTATCTCTACAGCCTTTCACTGTAAGGTTAGCTTGTAGATAAGGAAGGAGGACAGGATGAACTTGCAAGTTTGCATACTACAAGAAGCACAGGAAAAGTTTATATTACACGCGATTTGTGTACTAAACCAGAGAAGATTCTGGTTAGAATCCATCTATGACAAAAGAATCTCAAGCATGGCAGTTAGGTTCTATGCCACCAGTTTTCTAGAATTCAGTTATGTTGTCTAACATGGGCTTTTTGTGTGGCTCATCTCCTGAATCCAAACTATGGTACTCCCAGCTGCACAGAATGAACTACTTTCTAACATCATCTCCTATGTGAATATGCTTCCCTTTTAATCTGGGAACTCAAGAATTTATTTCCTTTCGCGTAGCTCAGAAACGCAAGGGCAGATCTGTGCTCAGGAATAACAGCAGCAGGCAAGGGTCCTTGGGGTTCTAGTTGCAGGGAAGCAGGGAGAGAGGCAGGGTTCCAGGAGCCCAGAGGGGCAGGGGAAGGCTTGGGTTACCAGCCAGCAGTGGTGACGAGGGTCAGGACGAGAGGGGCACCCTTGTTAAGGTGGGGGTTAGTCAGTGGTCAAAACAATCTCTAATCTAAACATTATATGGTAAGAGAGCACTGTATCTTTTTAGGGGGACTGAATCAAAACGGTATTCATGTAGTTCTGAGTCTTCCTTACCTTCTCTGCTTGCTGCACCTACTTGTATCATAATGGCTCTTTTCTTTGGGTCACAACTTCGTGTACTCAGGGAGCAAGAAACCCCTGATGGGGATGGGAACCATTGGGCCACTGGTATTTGCGGTAATTCTCAAAATCAAGCTTTTTGGGTGCTGCTAGCTCATATCCCAGAAGGGAAGCCATTTTTAGTCCTGGATTGTCTCCATGGTAACCTCTGAAATAGTTGGCAATAGGTGCCAAGCTGGCTGGGTGCCCAGCTCTGGGAGGTGGGTGGGGAGGAAGGGGCTGACAGGAACTCATAGGGATTCAGATAGGTACCCTCCTTTCCTCTGTCTGATGGAAAGGACCATGTGGCATGAATTGGCCTTCATCAATCCTAGGAGATGCTGGTGACCCTAGGTCTGCCTCGTGTGGCTGCCTGACGGTGTCCTGACAATTTTCAGGCGGGGTAATACCCCTGCTGCTTGTTCTGCAGGCTGAAGAAGGGACAAGGGACACTGAGTGGAGGCCAGGAAGGAAATCCTCAGTGACCTCAGGAAAAAAGACACGCTCTCTGTCCGTCTCTCTTTCCCAGGATCTCAGTGTCTGTCTGCCTTGCTCTCTTCTGCTCTAAGTATTTGGAGGTGAAGCTCTAACAGGGAAAAGGAGAGTCACAAAATGCAGGCTGACCCGCGCTCTCGCCTACCATTGCCAGGAGGGACTGCAGCTCGATCTCCAGGGTCTGCAAGCTGCGCTTCATGTCGGTCAGCTCGTTCCTGGCCGAGGTGGCCGCGCCCGCGTGGTCGGAGATCTGCTGCTGCAGGGTGGCGCTCTGCAAGGCGGGGTGCGGAGGGGTGAGCGGGCCTGCACCCCAGCCGGCGGGCTCGGGGGAGGCGGGGCTGGGCGCGCGCCTCACCTTCTCGTGGAACCAGGCCTCCGCGTCCCTGCGGTTCTGCTCCGCCAGGGCTTCGTACTCGGCCCGCATGTTGTTCAGCAGGACCGTGAGGTCCACCCCGGGCACCGCGTTCATCTCCACGTTCACGTTCCCGCCGGCCGCGCACTGCAGTGCCTTCATTTCCTGCAGGGACACGTGAGCGGGACTCGAGGGGCAGTGTATGGTCAGGGCGCGCAACTGCTCTTCCACGCTCCTGCCTTTCCAGCCCTCTGCCCTGCGACTCTTCCCTCCCCCTCTTTCTCTTTTCATGTTTCCTGGCCTTTCCCTCCCCCATAATTCTCTCCTTTTAGGCTTTTCTAACCGGTCACGGGGTGTTTCCCAAACATTTTCATCCATTGTTTAGGAGACTATTTTGGAGATAGTCATTTTTTCCCCCCTCTAAGGGCTTTGAAGCTGCGTGGTATAACGTTGTCAAGTAAGGGGTTTATTACTGTACAGCGTTCCGCATTCAAGTAAAGCCAGTCTCATTAAGTGGAGAAAACAGTGACATCTTTTCCTAGTCAGGTCTTTTGTGGGAAGGTGGATGGCAGGATGGCCTTTTACGAATGACAGAAATAATACAGTGCAAACAAGGACGGGTGGGTGTATCAATGCCAAAGCAATGCGCCATTTTTATTTATTTATTTTTTAAAGATTTTATTTATTTATTTGACAGAGAGAGTGAGATCACAAGTAGGCAGAGAGGCAGGCAGAGAGAGAGGAGGAAGAAGGCTCCCCACTGAGCAGAGAGCCCGATGCAGGGCTCGATCCAAGGACCCTGAGATCGTGACCTGAGCGGAAGGCAGAGGCTTTAACCCACTGAGCCACCCTGGCGCCCCGCAATGCACCATTTTTAAAACATTAGATTGTTCTATCAGGCTAAAAAAAATGGGAGGGTGCCGATCAAATGGTTAATACTTATAACCTTGGGGGATGAGGTTAGAAGGGCAGAGAGCGGGAGAGAGAAAATTCTTTCTTTGTATGCCTTGGCATTGTTTAAATTATTATGACGAGCACGAAATACTACTGTAAGTTAATGACACCTCCCCCCCCCAAGTATTAAAAATGTCCAGAATCGCGATTTCATTAGTGGTTCAGCTTCTCCTACCTCTTCATGGTTCTTCTTGAGGTACCTCATCTCTTCGCTCAGGGACTCGTACTGCAGCTCCTGGTCGGTTCTGCAGAGCGTGAGTTCGTCCAAGACTCGCCGCAGCCCGTTGATGTCCGCCTCCGTGTTTTGGTGAAGGGCGAGCTCATTTTCGTACCTTGGCGGGGCATTAAGTGAATTTCAGCCCAAGTTAGACAACCTCAAGAGGGGAGAGAAGTAAAACCTCGGTCGCTTTAAGCGGTGCATTAGAAAATGAATTGGGACTCCGAATGTTATAAAAGCATACAAGGAACGCCTTCCTCCACTCCTTTACCCAGTGCTCTGCAAGGAAATTGACCGTTATTTAGTGACACAAATTCTGATAGCAGATCCCTATTAAATAAAAATATGCCATTTTAGAATTTTATCTTAGTGCTTGGCATTCTTCCAGGCAGGCGTAGAAATGAAGTGATATTTTGTCCCCAAAATGTAATATATATATAAATTATGAGTATAGTAAGAACATGCCTTGTGTCATAGGGCATTGTTATAACATGCGTTACTTCCTTTAATCTTTTATGGTTTATTCTACTCGGGGTGAAATTGAAATTTTATTTAGCATATTAAAATTGACAGGAAAGTTTTTCTAGAGAGTGATTGTTTTCTATCACTTACTTTAGCCGGAAGTCATCAGCAGCCAGTCTGGCATTGTCAATATGCAGAATTACATTAGCGTTAGCAGTAGTGGAAGAGATAATCTAGAAGAAACCAAAAGGGAGGACACAACAAATAAGCCCGTTCTTAGAATTTATCTCAGGAAATGAAACATGTGACACGATTCACTTTTGCATAAAAAAATCTTATTTCCTTAAGTGACAACTGAAATATTTAAAATTTTCATTTTTAAAAATGACAAATGTGGTTATTTCTCACCTACTCACATAACTTTTAGAATGCAACACTTTCTTATCAATGTATATATTTCAAAACTAGTAACATTCAAGCTGCTTGAAATTCACGCATTAAAGTACTTATTTTTGACTAACAGGAAGAATGATTTGTGAAAATAATAAATAAATAGGAACATAAATGACAGATAACAGTTATGAAGCATTTCCTGTTTATGTTGTTTATGTTCTATATCTTTTGCTAGGTAGTTCTTAGTTTTAAATACTTTCAGTGTTTTCAGTATTTTCAGATTTGTGATTTCTCACCTTATTCTTAAGATCCTCGATGATTAGGTGGTATCTACTATAGTCATGATCAAGTCCACGGCAAGATCCTGGTCCGTATTTATCATACCAACCCTTGATTTTCCTCTCTAGTTCAGCATTTGCCTCCTCCAGAGCTCGCACATTATCCAGGTAGGATGCCAAGCGGTCATTAAGATTCTGCATGGTCACCTTCTCGTTTCCAGACAGAAGTCCCCCTTCACTTCCAGCAAAGCCAGAACAAGTGGCGTTTCCAAGGACACCACTAGCATGGTGCCCCCCAGGAACACTGCCCAGGCCCCCTCCCAAGGCACAGGAAAATCCACTTCCAGCAACAGAGCTGCCACATGCATTGCTGCCCACAAAGCCTGAGCCTCCACTGGGTGGTCTCATAGATCCAGTTCCAGACCATAAGCGAATATGCCTGGACCCACTAGAAAATCGGAGAGACATGACAGAATGAGCAGTGTTCACCTTGTCTGTAACAAGATTGCTGGAAGTTCAAAGAAGAACAGGATATCATGAGCTGATGGTTTCTTTGGGCTTTTATACACAATTATTGGGGTGTTTCTATTTGAGTTATGCATGCCAGAAGAAAAATGGCATCATTCTGATTAGCATGAAATTATGTATAATTAGTTTTTTTTTTTTTTTTTTTTTTTTTTTTTTTGTAAATTGATGTTTAAAATCCCTGGCTGTTGCTTCGGGATATTTGTTATCTTAAATATAACAGGGTTCATTCTGTATTAAGTTCATTATTTTAACTTCTAATTTTGGATGAGTAATCCTTTACTTTCATCTAAGCTGTAGGAATATACCATCATTATCTGGCACCAGATGTTATAAAGTTTTAAAAGTTAAGTAAGATTGCAATAGGGTACCGTCAGCTAGCTCCAGCAGGGTCTTTATTAACAGAGAGGTATATAAAGAAATAGTAACTAAAGAAACCCATATTTTATCCTACCATAGCAAAAGAAAAAAAATTGTGTTATTTAAAAAATACGATACTGATAACTTCTCTGGTCTTACCATGATTATGACATCTACGTATTAACTTGAACAATAACATAAGTATTAACTGATTCCTTTATTGAACATGTATGGCTACTATGTCTGGTGTTCAAAACTAAATGCAAAAATGAAGGCATGATGGTAAATAAATGCAAAGATGAAAAAGATCTGGGTCCAGTCTTTAAGAAATGTATGGTCAGGATCAGGCAGAAGCTGGGTCATGTTTAGCCTTCAGTGTCAAAGAGTTTGGAATGACTGGGTGTGTGTGTGTGGAAGGGGAAGGGGGTCCCGCTGAGAAATGGGAGAGATGAGCCAGAAGTGATCTGAGAAGGCTCCTCGTGAGGTAATGGCCAGGAAGATGGGGGTGAAGAAGGTGGAGAGGATGGGGAAAAGAGGGATAGGAGGGCTTTGGTTGGGTGTGACTGGTTCTAGGTTCTGTGGAGAAGACAGGTATAAAATTGTTTTGCTTCCAGGACAGTAAGGGGTCTCCCGGAACTGGGCTCCCGTAAGCATTCTGAAGCCTGGGCAGCTGGCGTTATGGCTGTCATCGGCCTGGCCTTTAAATACATTTTCTGGGCCAAGTTGTGGGATTTTTTTTTAGAGCAGCAAAGGGCCTTAGACATTACCTAATTCAGCCCCTCGGTCATGAGGCCACTGAGACCCATAAATGTTAAGATTTGTCCAGAGTCACCAGGAACATCCCAGGTGGAAACAGCATATGTTCTAGATAGCCTAGAGATTCGGGCATCATGGGTGTATTTTAAATACAAATAATTTCTCTAAATGATCCATGCCCATACAAATACCCATTTTATATATTGCCCTCATAGTCTTAACATGTTATCTTAATTGTGAAATTATTTTCTTAAGTTACTGAATTATTGAAATTGAAATGTTAACAATTTAGAATGTTAAAATGTAAGAAGAATTATAAATCTCTTCAGTGCCTGATTCATTGTAAATATTAATTATCTGAGTTATTGGTGGAGTGTGTATGCATCCTGCATATGTAAAAAAAAAATTCCAAAGAACATTTTTGAACAAAAAAGGGAAACAAGCTTTTTTTTTTTTAAACTTAAGTTGAAATGATATGCCCCCCCCCCCCTCCCGTCAGCATCCTCCCTGGTGATCCCACACTGTTTACCACAATTGTCCCTGTCCTTTTATTTCCACCAGGGGGCAGCGCTCACCTGCAAATGGGTGTGGCTTGGGCTGAATTGCCACTTCAGCCTGGGTCCTAACAAGCCCTCAGCTGGGAATGAAAAAAACCCCTGGTAAGAAGCAACCCCAACATTGACCTTCTCAAAGTTCCAGAGCATGAGGAGTATAAAGACAAGATTTCCTTGTGCTTATATGGTGCTTTACAGCTTCCAGAGGGATTTCTTGTGCATTATCTCATTTGAATCTCACAAAGAATCTGGGAATCAGGAAGAGCTATTTCCTTCTTCTGATTGAATGGTGAGAAAATGGAGGACAAGGACTTTTCAGGGATGCACAGCATGAAGCTGAGTGAGTCACACTAGAATGGGCCTTGGGATTCAGTGTGGTGGTCCTTTCGTCAAAGACAGTTATCTTAAAGTCAGATAGAATAGTAACTCCAATGGTGCCAAAATCTCTTTTTAATGAAAAACATTAACATATTTCTTACAAAATTCTTTTCTGAATTTCTAGTTAATAGCAAAATGAAACTTTGGGCTACAGTTATGCTGCCTATCAGGTGTCATTCATTCATTTTTTTGTTCATTCAAGAAGTATTTAGTGACCGTCTACTATGCACAGGGCACTGTATTAGTAGTGGGACATACAGAGGGGAAGAAAACAAACGCCTTCCAAGATTTACTGTGGATAAAGTTGCTGTGAACATGGCACATACAAATAGCACTTTAAGACCTTAGTATCAGTTCTTTTGGCTTTAGACACAGGAGTGAAACTGCTAGATCATATGGGACTTTCGTTTTTAATTTTCTGAGGAATCATCATACTGGTTTCTGCAGCATCTGTACCATTTATTTCCACCAAGAGGGCACAAAGATTCCAGTTTCTCCACAACCTTTCCAAAACTTGCTGTTTTCTATTATTATTATTATTATTATTATTGATGGTAGCTTTCCTAATCAGTGTGAGGTGGTATGTCATGGTAGTTTTTGATTTGCATTGCCCTCATGATCAGTGATGTTGAGCATCTTTTTATGTGTTTATTAGCCATACCCCACTTGCTTTTATCTTTACAACTGTTTTCTATCTACTGAGATGCATTTTGGTACCATTTTGTTTTCTAGTCTTCCCTTCAAATTTCTTTCTTTAGAAAACCTTCCAGAGGCTCTATAGATCAAAACTTGAATAAGAGTTCCTCTTCCAAAAAGGTCATTGTCATGGCTTTGTCATGGCTCAGCTAGCCTGTGAACCTGTTTATTCATGCTTTTCAAGCATTTCTTCTGAGGTAACTTATTCAGAGTAGGAAAGATTAGTTAGAAGCTTGAGTATGTGATTTTTTTTTTCTTCGCTAAAATCCTGAAGGACAAGATTATTTTCAAAGCACTACTCAAATTCTTCCCCTAGGTAATGTCTAATATTTGTACTAATTCAGGATAATTTCCTTTCTGACTGTTACTAGGCTGCGAAGGTCCCTTATTTAGCCTGGGGGTGTGAGATGATGTTTGTTTTTATTTAGAGACACTGAAAAGCAATGTGACAACTCAAGAGTCCTTCCTCCTTTAGCATGACTTTCTGTGGGACACCTAGTTCAAAAAGTATCCTTAAAGAAAATGTCCTTCATACCTGGTTTCCAGACTGGATTTATTTTTGTTGTGATAACTTGTTTCTCTTTGTCACTCAAAGATGCAGCATGGGTCATTTGCCTTGTGATCAGGGTGACCACAGGTGTAGCTTTTAGGGATGGTCAACTCTCTCAAACCTTTGGGATAATCATCTGGTCCTTCCTACTTGCCTTCATCTCTTGCTCTGTTTTATTGGTCCTCAGGTTCACAGGACTACATTCATCCTAATCCTTTGTGACACACTCTCGCCACTATTTCTACTGTCTGAGTTTTGTTTCGCAGCCTCAGGATGGCAACTGGACCTTGATCTCTAACCCACGGCAGACCATGGTAATGATCAACTATTCTAACAACCTATTGTGATGTGCATGTGCATCTTTGGAGAAGCTAGATTATTTAGCCAATAAACATATTTCTCTGGGGATGAACAGAATACTATTTTTTTTTGTTTTTGTTTTGCTTTATAAAATCCTCATTTATTTGGACTTATTTAATACATACCAGGAGCACACATTATGAAGGCTGTTTATATACCCTTTCTTATATAAATAAAGAATAAAAGCAAATACACTGAAGAAATAGAATTCAAAATTTATAGCAGTTACCAAATTTCAGGACTTTTTCAGTTTTTTTGATAATCTTTTGAAAATATTTTTCAAAATGTATTTTTTGTTTTTCAATGAAAATATAATTGATATACAATATCACATTAGTTTCAAGTATACAATGTAGCGATTTGACAACTCAATACTTATGCTGTGCTCCCAAGTGTAGCTACTATCTATCACCATGCAATGCCATTACAATAACATAGACTATACTCTCTGTGCTGTATCTTATGCTCATCCATGTGATTTACTCATTCTGTAACTGGAAGACTGTACCTCCTAGTCCCCTTCACTCAGTATACACATCCCCCTACCGCCCTCCCCTATGGCAACCATCAGTTTGTTCTCTGTATTTATGGGTCTGTTTCTGTTTTTTGTTTCTTAGATTACTCATATAAGTTAAATCATATGGTATTTGTATTTCTGTCTGACTTCACTTAGCATAATACCCTCTAGGTCCTTGAATATTGTTGCAATGGCAAGATAGTGTATCCTTTTTTATGGCTGAGTAATATTCCAGTAGAATTACCAGATCATATGGTTTTCCTATTTTTTATTTTTTGAGGAAACCCCATACTATTTTCCACAGTGATTATACTAAGGTACATTCCTACAAACAGTACACAAGGGTTCTTTTTTCACTACACCCTTGCCAACACTGATTATTTCTCCTCCTCTTCATTCTAGCCATTCTGATGAGTAGAAAGTGGTATCTCACTATGGTTTTGATTTGTATTTCCTTGATAATTAATAATGTTGAGCATCTTCTCATGTGACTGTTGGCCATTTGTATGTCTTCCTTGGAGAACTGTCTATTCATGTCTTCTCACTTTTAGTTGGATTTTTTGTTTTGTGTTTTGAGTTGTGTAAGTTCTTTATGTATTTTGGACATTAACCCCCATGGGATATGCCATTTGCAAAGATCTCCATTCGGTAGGTTACCTTTTCATTTTGTTGATGGTTTTCTTGGCTGTGTAAAATAGCATACTGTTTCTTCAGTGTCTACTCCACAGTGGGCATTTTTTAAGGGTTTTATAGGCATTAACTAATTTTATTCCCATGATAATCTCAAATGAAG